TTTGTGAAAGATTTTTATATATTTTATATCTGATGCCTTCTCACCATGTATACATCAGAGAACCTAATCAATTTGTTTGTAGGTGGAAAGTTTTAATGAGAGACTAGAATGTTTTCCTTACACTGAATCAGAACTTTAGATCATACTGGTGTATGCCACGTTATCTCATTGGTGTATTATTGCCATAAAGTTCAATAAACTATTTAATCAACTTATTTCAAACCATTAGAAACAGTACATTTAATTGCTTAGAAAGTCACAAGAGTACGTCTTATTTTTTGTTTCATTAAAGAGGAGGAAAAGTTTTGTATATCTAAAAAATGTGGACTCCATCCATCCTCAGACAGATACAGACACACAGAGACGTTTACATGTAACAATTTCCGGGGTTAGGATTAGGGCTTATCATAACAACATAACAATTTGTAACAAGACTTCCAGGTCTCTTCCATCCATCCATTATCCGCTTCTTCCTTTGTGGATCATGGGGGTCACTGGTGTTCATATCCAGCAGTCAGTGTGCGAGAGGTGGGGGACACCCTGGACAGGTTTCAAGTCCATCACAGGGACACAGAGAGACAAACGAGACAACCCTTCATACTCTCTCTCACCTAAGGTCCATTAAGAGTTACCAATCAGTCTAACATGCCTGTTTTTGGTCTGTGGGAGGAAACAGACCTGGAGTAAACCCACACATGCGCAGAGAACATGCAAACTCCCCATTCGGGATTTAATCCGGCAGCCTCCCTGCTGAGATCAATTGCGCCACTGTGCCGCCCCCAGTTTATTCTGATGTTGTTTTTTTTTAAACAGTGAATATCATGCTGAATTTCTTACTAATAAGACAAAATTGAAATAGATTATGTTACAGTGAAGCTAACACTTGAACCTTTTAGGTTAAAAAAAGTAACAAGTCAAAAAAAAGAGTTGAACAAGCTGAGTTGTTCTTGGGTCAAATACCACTTAATATAAACATTGTAGCATCATGAAGCTGACATTAATAAATATGAAGCTGGAATCTTGAATAGATAGTTAAAGTTGCTCAGTATAATAAACCTGTGATGTCCAAAATCTGTCATGTCTTCTGTTTCAGCTGTCATCAGTCGTCCTTCTCTTGGCTCCTGTGTTAATCAGCTGTCAAGAAACCTACCGGCCAGTTGACTGCAGCGACATCTACAACCATCAGATCAGACAAAGTGGTGTACACACCATCTATCCCATCAGATCAACATCTCATTCTCAATCTGCTGTTGAGGTACAGTTTATTCTGGTGTGAGCCAGGGGCAGGGGTGGAAAGAGTACTAAAATAATAAGCTTAAGTACAAAATTAAAAGAGCAGTTACTTTGATTAAATTTCACTCAAGTACAAGTAAAATTGCCGGTGTAAAAATGTACTTAAATAAACATAACTGAACATAACTGTAGTCACATAAATAAATTACTTTGAGTACAAGTTACTTAGTTACTTATTTTGACAGTGAGGGGTTTTAAATGTGAGGTACGCTGGACAAGAGGACTTTTCTTTTTCAAACGATCTCTTAACTAAAAACCCTCACAGATTAATATCTATCCATTCATCAATTCTCTTTTACTTGCTTTTCCTTTTTGAGTCACAAGGAACTAGTATTTATCTCCAGCTGTCACTGTGTGAGAGATGGGGGACATCTGGACAGGTCACAAGTCCATTGCAGGGCCACATAAAGACAACCCATTTATACGCTCTCACTTACACCCAGAGAAGTTATTTTACAGTTTGCAATTAACCTAACATGCATGTTTTTGGTCTGTGGGAAGAAAAACTGGAATATCCAGAAAAATCCCTTGTGTGCGCTGGAAAAACGTGCAACATCCACATTGAAATGTCCCAGGGTGGAGACGAACTTGTGACTTTTATGCTGTGAGGCAACACTGCTTATCACTGTCCTACCATTGACAAATATTCTATTAAGTTGCATGAAGTTAATTTAAATTTGAGATAAAAACAAAAACTTAAACAGATACACATAGAAGATAAAGAGACTAAAAATAAAATTGATGTTTTTTTCCATCGTTGGTTTCTTACTCCAGTGAGGGTGGTGGAGGACATATGGTCATCTTTGTGTGCCATTGGGGGCTGTACATAACAATGTAACATTACTATGTTATAATTCTGCCTGGAGTCTGAACCACCCTTACAAAGTGTCTGTCGGTGTGTGTGGGCAGGTGTACTGTGACATGGAATCAGAAGGAGGACGATGGACGGTGAGTTGTCCACCTGAACTCAATTTCCCAGTAAAATGTTGGCTCTGAGCGCTCCGTGAGGTTCTATCCAACCTAATACAAATTTAATATACTTGATGTGAGGCACTAAAAGAAGATACCTTGATTCTCTGAGTGTCCATATTACCAGATACATCAGAGTAAATAAGATTATTTCAACCACCACACAGCTCAGTGTTTCATATAAAACACGATGACACTCATGGACTCAAGAAAACACAAATTTAACTAAACTAAATTAGCAGTAAAAAAAAAAAAAAAAAAAAAGCCATAAACCTTGACTGAAAATATGAAAAACTCATAGCAGAAATGTAGCTTCCTGACAGATCCTTTCCATACATTAAACGTGTGTTTGCAGGTGTTCCAGAGGAGGATGGACGGCTCGGTAAACTTCTACAGACCTTACGATCAATACAAAACAGGCTTTGGAAACGCTGCTGGAGAGTACTGGCTTGGTGAGACATGACCACACACCACCAGTCTCTAACCTCACAGCTCTTGCAATAAAGACAATAAGCAACTTTTGTATTCACTTCTGTTTACATCCATCTTTCATGGCCATCAGTCTTTCTCTCTGTCTGCTGTGTTGTGTGTTGATGCAACTGCACCACGTGCAGGTCAGCAGAGGAACGACAAAACACACGAGGATGTTACCTTGAATATATAGATGAAGCAGATTAAATATAGTGGTAATCAAAAAAATAAAAAAAGATTACTAGGGTTTACATATTTGTTTGTCCAGGTCTTGAGAATCTCCACCAGCTGACTAGTCATCAGAACTATGAGCTGCTGGTCAACGTGGAAGACTTTGAAGGAAACACCAAATTTGCTCTTTACTCTTCGTTTAGAGTAGATTCTGAGTGTGATGCTTATCGTCTGCATGTGACTGGATTCAACAATAAAGGAGGTGCTGGTGAGTTACACAGTTACTCCTGGGTCCTGTAATGATATCATTTGTCTGATTTTTGGATGGACAGTATTTTGTGTCTAAATTTGCTGACATCACTTGTTCCCACTGGTCGGTGCACTGAACCCAAAATGTCATGAAGCTGAAGTTCACAACAACTTTGATCAGTCCACAAGGACAGGTTCAGAGACATATGCTTCTTAAACAAGTAAAGCCACTTAACAGCAAACTATCATTCATTTACTAAGAAAATATATTATTATTATTATTATTATGAAGATCAGGCTCTGAGCTGAAAGAGGCGGCTCTGAACTGACTTACAGTTCCTGAATGGTTCAACAGGTTCACAGCCGTTAGACCCATCACTAACCTGGACCCCAGTGAAAACTTGATGCTCCCTGTATCCCTCTGTTAGTTACACTAAAATGAAACCCTTCTTTTACTTACTGAAAACTTTTTTTTTAAATTATTTCAGCTTTATAGGTGTGGTCAATTGTTGTCCCCTATTGTAGAACAAAGAGCAGAAATTGGAAATACCCTCCGTCCGTCTTTCTGTGCATGTTATGAGACTATGCGTTCATCCATCCATCCATTATCGTATCTGCTTCTTCCTTTCTGGGTCACGGGGGTCAGTGGTGCCCATATCCAGCAGTCACTGTGCGAGAGGTAGGGACACCCTGGACAGGTCTCCAGTCCATCACAGGGACACATAGAGACAAACGAGACAAACAACCATTCACTCTCTCACTCACACCTAGAGACAATTTAGAGTTACCAGTCAGTCTAACATGCATGTTTTTGGTCTGTGGGAGGAAACTGGAGTACCCGTAGAAAACCCACGCATTCATGGAAAGAACATGCAAACTCCACCCAGAAAGGTGCCCTGCTGGGATTCAATCCGACAACCTCCTTGCTGAGAGGCAACAGCTCTATAACTGAGCCACCATACTTCCTGTTGTGAGAATAATAGCTTGAAAACTAAATGTGGTACAGACTTTCATTTTGGTGTGTAGGCATAAGAATGGTTGTTTTTTAATGGGTTGCCACATCAAAATCCAAGATGGTTGCCACCATATACGTAAAGTTTGTGCTCAGGGTCCGGCCTCACGGGCTTCTGCGGCTCGGCAGCTCGTATGATTCTCCGGGTGACTGGTGGAGCTCGGAGCCGGGGAGATGACGCCCTGCCCGGCCTGGGGGGGCTCCGAGGCTTCCGAGTGGAAAGGACCGGGGGGACCAGCAGAGCTCCATTTAGCTCGCTCTGAATTTTGTCGTCAGCCACCAAGCACAAAAAACACCTACACTTCAGCATTAGACCATGGTGTTGTCATTATATTTTTTTAAGTCTTAAAAATAGACCCAGTTGCTCCTGAAGTTTGAGTTATTGCAAATGGTGGATCTTGTTGTTGTGAAAGTTTCTCAAACAACCAGTGACTTCACCCCCTGACCAATCAGTGACTGACAGTGTTCTGACGTCACGTTTTTGTGCCAGCTCGACCCGGTTGGAACCCCAGAGAGAAAGGGACTGAAAAAGTGATCGGTTCCATGAGCTGTTACTAGTGGAAAAACCTTGGAACCGTGTCAAGTCGAGTCGAACCGTGCAGTACCGTTACTAATGGAAAAGGCCCATTAATTTTTCCAGAGCTGCATATTTAACCAATTGTTCTGAAACATAATTTGACATGTTTTATCTCTGTGGCTACTCAACTTGGGTATTTTCTTCTCATATGTGGAAGTTCATTTCTTGCTGGGTGCTGCTTTTTTCTGCAGGAGACAGCCTTCATCATCACAATGGACGAAAATTTTCCACTTTCGACAAAGACCAAGACGACTGGCCAAACAACTGTGCCAGATCATTCCTGGGCGCGTTTTGGTACGGCAACTGTCACGACACAAACCCTAATGGGATTTATCAGTGGGGGGCTGATAGCACTCACTATGCTACTGGAGTGACTTGGGACAAATGGAAGGGCGAGTACTACTCCCTGAAAAGTATCAGCATGAAGATACGTCCTGTTCAATAAACCTACAGGAGAACTATCCTGCAGAAAATCACATTGCTTTTCCATTTATTCAATGATAATTTTTCATATTGAAACATACTTTGTAATTCAGAAGTTCACAAGATGAGTTTCAGCATGAACAGACAAATGCTGACTGAGAGTTTTAGCACATATACTACAGTTTGTCATTAAAGAAAAATAAATAATTTGCAGGAATTTGATATGCTCTTTTTATGTTTCTTTGTCTCTCTTTCCTTAGATAGAGAACTTTACTAATTGGCTTTTTATATATGTGAATGTTTCTGTTCAGTGCCTTGAGACAACTTTGTTATGAACTGGTGCTATATAAATAAACTGAATTGAATTGAATTTGTCTGAGTTCTTTTGACAGAAAACCCTGAATTCAGTGTCAAAATACAAGTTATCACAGCTTTAAAGACCCCTTGCTACTATGTTAATTTTTTTTTCACTCGGCCATAAGACTCAGGACATATGTAATAGCCTGTTTGTATGCCGCTGCAGTGGCGGCTCGTGGACTTTCCACCAGGGGGGACTATAACTACAAAATAGAAAAT